TATCAGGTATCATGCTCAGAGCTGGGTATACAGTGTCAAATGAGCAGACATGGTCCTTAGTCTCATTGAGTTCACTGTCTAGAGGAAAAGACAAACAAAAACAAACTCTCAAATTAATAATAATTGTGATAAATTCTATGAAAGATAACCAGAGTGCTGTGAAAAAGAACAATAGAAAAAGGATAATTTAGACAGAGGAGGGGAAATGTTTTCAAGAAAGCTTCATTGAAGAAATGACAAGAGATCCAAAAGTGGAGGGGTCACCAGCCAAGTGAAGAGTGACAGAAAGGGCATTCTGGGCCTAGGAAGCAGCACGTGTGAAGACCCCGAGGAATTGAAGAGCTTGTGTATTCAAGGAGCTACAAGAAAGCCATGTGGCTCAAGCAGAGTAAACCAGAGAGGTTGGCATGAGATAAAGTCACAGGTGGGCCCCACCAAAGCAGACAAATGAACCATGGTGAGCATTTTATATGATGTCATAAAGGCAGAGAAAACTTGTTAGAAGATGTTTAAGCAAGAAAAAGAGGAGATTCAATTACATTTTTAAAACATTGCTCTGGCCACTGCACACACATTGGGTTGGAGGAGGGCAAAAACAGATGAAGGGATGAGGGTGGCTAGGAAGGGGAGGCAATGGTAGAGAAGAGGGTAGATTTTGCATATAATCTTAGGATGTCCTCATTTGGGGGCTATAGTCAGCTGTGTAGCTCTGACTTCATATCTCACACTATGTGGACATACTCATCTCTGTATCTCCACTCTAAAGAGACTGACTTTGTTAGAATCCTACTGCCTCTCCAGGTGGTCATCTTGGACAGCAGCTTACATAATCCATATCTGATCCACAGGAATCACACACTTGTTTTACTCAAACACCCTCTTCCTGACAAGACTTCAGAGAGCAGGCTTGCCCACACAGTCACCTCATCAGTAGGCTGACAGGACCACAGGTCCCCCATAGCTCTCACCTTTAGACTTGCCCAAGTATGGGTGTGGCCATAGCCACATGTCCCACAGACTTCAGAGGATATAGACCAAGCTTTTAAAACATTAATAGTCTCCCTGAAGACCCTCTCAGTAGGACTGAGGAGACAACAAAGCACCCCCATCCTTTTCATCATGGTGGAGGAGGAGGGGTGAGACTGATAGTGCCTCTACAAGGAAATCCTCTCTCCACTATCACACCTTTCTTCATATTTTCTAATATACTTCAGATGCTTGGTCATCTAAGAGTGGCAAAGTCCATTTTGGTGCCCCTTTTTGAGGCCTGCCAGGGGGCCTACCATCTCACTTTGGTATGTCAGAGTGGATGGCACCTCTTGTCCTGCACACTCTTGTCCTGGACTAAATGGAGACAGAAAACATCCCACTTTAGCATCCTCTCCTAGCCTCCATCCAGTGACCTTCTGAACACCACTGCCATCTCCCTGAAGCTCCCGCACCCCACCCTCTTGTCTGCCTCTCCCAGTGCCTCTCTAGTGCTCTTGCCTTGGGCCTTAGTGCAGCAGGGCAGCTGCCAGGATGGCTCTCAGCCTCTTTTCTCCTCCTCTGCCCCATGACGGCACCCTGTCCCCAAAAGTTAACTGACTCACTGCAGCAGCAATGTCATTGCCGCCCACCTCCTCTTCCTCTTCCCCCAGGCAGGGCTCGGTGTCTGTTTGCATCCCCTCTCCCCTACTTTAGAAAACAATCAGCCCTACTCCCACACAGATCCTGCTGTTCCCTCTTTTTCAGCCATTTTCCTGAGAGTTTGTCCAACCACTCAGACCCTGTGATAGAAAGGAGAAAATGGGTGAAATTTTAGGATTTCACTACTCAGTAAAACACAGAAAAGCAGAAATGGGTGACTTATATGAAGAGCAAAGAAAATGGAATTTACTAGTTTGAATTAAGAAAACAAAAAAGTGAAGGAGGCTTAGATTTGTTGGAGTAATGAACAGGAAAGATATGGGAAGACACAAGAGCATATACCTTAGGTAGAAAATGTGGGAGAAGGCAAAAGAATCTACCATAATATGTTTTCCATTTTGAAAGCTTCATGAAAAGGTCATAGGATAGAATTACCATGTTTTAGGAATAACCTTTTTCAGTGATTTCATATTAGTCACCAGTGAAGGGCAGGTTGTATCCTAACCAAAGTTTGCCATGTGCCTGACAGGAACAAACGCTAAGCATGGACTGCGCTGCAAAGCCTGTAAGATGAGCATCCACCACAAGTGCACAGATGGCCTGGCACCCCAGCGGTGCATGGGCAAGCTGGTAAGGGCTTGTGCCAGGAGGGAGCCCCAGAACTCGCTGCCTAGGGCACCTACCTGCCCCAAAGAGATCACTCCCTCCAAAGTCCTTCCCTGCAACCCTGAGGAAGGCACCCCAGAACTGGCCTTCCAGCTTGGCTTCCTAATTGGCAAAATGATGGAGCAGAGGAACAGCCTTGTCAACCTAACAGGCAAATGTCCCACATTGAAAAAGAGTTTGGGCCCTTAGTAGAGTGACCAACTTCTCCCGGGTTGGCACTTTCTCAGCTTTAGCACTGAAAGTCCCACATTCTGGGACTGTTCGGGTTTTGAAAATGAAAGTCATGCATCTCAGGAACCCCCTCAGCCCCAGGCAAACCAGGGCAGTCGGTCGTCAGCTCAGAAGGTGTTTAGAGAGGACTAGAGCTAAGCCCCCACAAAAGCGAAGTGAGTAATAAATATCTGCACCACTTTAATGGAATCATTTTTCCCTAATCAAGAGACATTGGACAGTCCTGGCCCATTCTGGGCTGATCATACCATCTCAGGAGCATGGGCGTCAGTCCTGGTGCCACACATTGATCAAAAGCAACCCAGGGCACACTTGAGGGTATTTTAAACTAGGTTGGCCAAAGAATTGTAGAACCAATTGTAGTATAAAAAACGTCTACTCTAGGGAATAATTAGACAGGACTTTAACAGCTGTCTTCAAAAGAATTTAGCCCTGTCACACAGAAGAGTGATCCTATTATCCTTTGTGGCTCCAGGGAAAAGACTTAGGATCAGTGGATACCAAGTCTTAACAATCAAAGATAATGTCATCAAAGACCTGCCTCTACAGTTAGCAAATGCTTCTACCCACCCTCCCATCACAGTGTTCAAACAAGGAAGATGTGCTTGCCAAGGACATTGGAGAGAATTCTGGGATTCTAGTGGGGACCGTGCCACTAAGTTCCCATCTAACACTGGGGTATAGTAAGTCCAGGTGCTTAGTTCATCCTCCTACTCTGATTTGCAGTATCTCTTCTCTCAAACTCACCTGGTCCCCTTCTCCTTTTCCAATGGTGATTCCCACAAGACCCACAGGAGGAGAATTCAGAAAAAGAGAATAGAATCAAGAACACTGAGCAGATGATTCTGGGTAAAACTCTTCAGATATACAAGGCCCTCTAGGCCTACCTCTGAGGTCTGCTTTGCCATGCCCAGGCCTTTTATGATTTTAATAGACCACAGTGACAAATTGTGGCAAGATAATGCACGGCAATCCATTTCTATCTGGCAGACAATGAGGATCTGGGATGCAAAGGAGGCTGCTGTGCACTGCGAGAGGACACATGGGACTGGGAAGGCCAGGGCCAAGAGCTTATTTTCCGATGGAGTGTAACTAGCTTATTGCCACCTATAGCTTCCTCCCCCAGTGCCCCTGCCAGGGTTAAATTATAGAATTATAGGATGTCGACTTCTTAATGGGAGACAAGCTGATGCCCCTGGAGAAACAAACTGATCTTATCATTAGGGCCCTTGTGTGGTTTTCTTCATCTCATCAGTGACATTAACCCCTTCTCTTTCATATTCTCTCTCCAGCCAAAGGGGTTCCGGCGTTACTACAGCTCCCCCTTGCTCATTCATGAACAGTTTGGATGCATTAAAGAAGTTATGCCCATCGGTGAGTTGGGACATGGATGGCTTGAGCTGGGTTTTGAGCCCCAAAATCAGCATGATTGGCTGCTATCCTCCCAGGGCTGCAAAAAGTGGGGTATCTTTGTGTGTTTGCTTAGTGGCAGTTTAGGTTATGGTTGTTTGTTTTGCTGGAGGAAAAACATAAAGTAGACTAAATTCTCCAGGAATTTTCATCATTTCCTTAATGAAGCTTAAGGAACACCTAAGTCCCAAAGGCTATCGATCTGCTGTCCCAACCATCAGCAGCATGGCAGAGTGGAAACTGCATGGAGCATATCATCCCACAGATGGGGTTCAAACCCAGCTTTCTCTTGACCAGCTGTGTGTCTTTAAACAAGTTACTCAACTTGTCAGGCCTTAATAAAGAGAACAGCAATCATTGCTTTTCATAATTTTTGTAAAAAATAAATATAGATTATAGACCAAGACTTAGTAGAAACTTAGTGAATATATTCTTCTTTAATGAGGACCAAACAAAATGCCCTTATATTTATTGATATTTCTGGCTCAAATCTCTTCTTTAACAATATCTTTTGGTTTACTTCTATTATTTTTTTCTCTCCTAAAAATCTCTACATCTATATTTACCTTTTGGAGGGGGAAAGTTTTAAACTAGAAATAATTGTAGATTAGAAAGCTTTCAGTTCGAAATTCATAAGGCCTGGTGATGACAAATTCTTTCTAAAACAATTGCCTCCTCCTGCAAATCTTGTGTCTCAAGGCTTTGTACCTTGGTGAGCAGAGCTTCCCATTAGAGGAAATAATGCTGGTCTCTGGGAAGAACCTTGAAATTGGAGTCCAGGAGATGGACAAAAGAAGAAAAGCAACCAATCAGAAAGAGTTTGGGAGCAGAGTCTTCCTTGGAAATGCTGGGTGCAATGTGGGGACCTGGTGAATGGGAGCACACTGCAGTTGGGGGCACATCTGTGAGGAAAGCTTGACCACAGAAAGCCCCCTCCTCCCGGGGGCTGGGGTCTGCTGCACAGAACCTATGTCTTGCGTGCCGTGAACCCAGCAGAGGTGGTAGGTGGTTGGCTGGGTTCTCTCAGATGAGCTTTCTCAGATGAGCTTTCTCTTCTGTTGCAGCCTGTGGCAATAAGGTAGACCCTGTCTACGAGACCCTCCGCTTCGGCACCTCCCTGGCCCAGAGAACAAAGAAGGGCAGCTCCGGCAGTGGCTCTGACTCACCTCACAGAACCTCTGTAATTGTCCTCTTCCTCCCTTGGTTTGTCCCTGGTAGTCCTGGGCAGGGCCGCCTCAGGCACTGCAGTGTGAGGGATTCCACCTACATGCCTCATGAGGGTACGGCTGTTGGGAGTCAAGCAGCCTCCAAAAGGAAACCCAAAGTGCCTTGGGCCACTAAGGGTTAGCCTCACCTTGCCCACACCCAGGGATCAGTTTACTTTTCTGCTCAAAGACCACCTTCTTGGCCTCATGCTCCTTGACTCTTCCCATGTGCCCCCTCTCCTTAACCTTTCCACAATATAATAATAGATAACATATTAGTCAACACATAGAAATGTTTGGCTCAAACAACGGGAAGAAGCCAGGAAATCCTGGCTCTTTCCAGTTCTCCTTCCAGATACATCCCAGTTCAAAGACAGCTATTTCTCACATTTTCTCAGTCTTTTCTCTCTAAGACAAGGTATACCTCTTAATTTCACATAAAAACTGCCCTCCCCAGAGACACTTGACCTGTGATTCAGTGAGGCCTCTCTGCATGGGACACTCACCCTCCCAGGCACCTCTCCTAAGATTTATCTGATCTAAACTTAATGTTTCATGCATCTCTATGACCTGTTATCATCATCTGTCTCTGGCTGTCACAACCAGAATGTCTATAAATGCTCTAAGATGCCATAGATCAGGGATCCCTAACCCATGGTGAGTTGTATAATTATTTCATTATATATTACAATGTAATAATAATAAAGTGCACAATAAATGTAATGTGCTTGAATCATCCTAAAACCATCCCCACCACTCCTTAGTCCATAGAAAAATTGTCTTCCATGAAAACAGTCCCTAGTGTCAAAAAAGGTTGGGGACTGCTGCCATAGAGTTTTTTTTTTTCAGCATATTATGGGGGTACAGATGTTTAGGTTACATATGTTGCCCTAGCCACCCCTCCCCGCTTAAGTCCGAGGTTCAAATATGTCCATCCTTCGGGTGGTGCGCATTGCACTCTTTGTGTATGCATATACCCGTCCCCTCCTCCCTCCTCCCCCCTTCCCCCTGCCGCATGCCCAACATCCAATAGATGTTATTCTTATACGTGCACTTATGTGTTGATCAGTTAATACCAATTTGATGGTGAGTACATGTGGTGCTTGTCTTTCCATTCTTGGGATACCTCACTCAGTAGAATGCGTTCCAGCTCTATCCAGGAGTATACAAGAGGTGCTATATCACCATTGTTTCTTAAAGCTGAATAGTACTCCATGGTATACATATACCACATTTTATTAATCCACTCATGTATTGATGGACACTTGGGTTGTTTCCACATCTTTGCAATTGTGAATTGTGCAGCTATAAACATTCGGGTGCAGGTGTCTTTTTCATAGAGTATCATTTGTTCTTTTGGGTAGATGCCCAGTAATGGGATTGCTGGATCAAATGGAAGCTCTACTTGTATCTCTTTAAGGTATCTCCACATTGCTTTCCACAGAGGTTGCACTAGTTTGCAGTCCCACCAACAGTGCATGAGTGTTCCTATCTCTGCACATGCATGCCAACATTTATTGTTTTGGGACTTTTTGATAAAGGCCAGTCTCACTGGAGATAGGTGATATCTCATTGTGATTTTAATTTGCATTTCCCTGATGATTAGAGATGTTGAGCATTTTTTCATATGTTTTTTGGCCATTATTCTGTCTTCTTTTGAAAAGTTTCTGTTCATGTCCTTTGCCCACTTTTTGATAGGGTCGTTTGATTTTTTCTTGTTGATTTTCCTGAGTTCTAAGTAGATTCTGGTTATCAGCCCTTTATCGGATTTCTAGCATGCAAAAATTTTCTCCTATTCTGTAGGTTGTCTGTTTCCTATTGTGACAGTTTCTTTGGCTGTGCAGAAGCTTTTTAATATGATCAGGTCCCATTTATTTATTTTGGTTGTTGCTGTGATTGCCTTTGGGGTCTTCTTCATAAATTCTTTGCCTAGGCCAATATCTAGAAGAGCATTTCCAACATCTTGCTCTAGAATTCTAATAGTTTCACTCCTTAGGTTTAAATCTGTTACCCAGCGTGAGTTGATTTTTGTGAGAGGTGAAAGGTGTGGATCCTGCTTCAGTCTTCTACATGTGGCTATCCAGTTTTCCCAGCACCATTTATTGAATAAGGATTCTTTTCCCCACTGTATGTTTTTATCTGCTTTGTCAAAGATTAGGTGGCTATATGAGGATGGTTTTATATCTGGGTTCTCAGTTCTGTTCCACTGGTCAATGGCTCTATTTTTGTGCCAGTACCAAGCTGTTTTGATTACTACAGCCTTATAATAAAGTTTGAAGTCTGGTAAGTTGATACCTCCCATTTTATTTTTATTGCCTAGAATTGTTTTTGCTATGCGAGGTCTTCTCTGTTTCCATACAGAGCGTAAAATTAATTTTTCTACATCTGTGAAGAATGATGTTGGTATTTTAATAGGGATTGCATTGAATCTGTAGATCAATTTGGGTAGTATAGACATCTTAACGATGTTGATTCTGCCGACCGACGAGCATGGTATGGTTTTCCACCTATTTACGTCCTCTGCTATTTCCTTCCTCAATGTTTCTTAATTCTCCCTGTAGAGGTCTTTTACCTCCTTAGTTAAATATATTCCTAGATACTTTATTTTCTTTGTTGCTATTGTGAAGAAAATTGAGTCTTTGATTTGGTTCTCAGTATGACTGCTGTTGGCATATATGAAAGCCTCTGATTTGTGTGTATTGATTTTATATCCTGAGACTTTACTGAATTCATTTATCAATTCCAGGAGCCTGTTGGTTGAATCCATGGGGTTTCTAGATATAATATCATGTCATCAGCAAATAGTGAGAGTTTGATCTCTTCTGTTCCCATTCGTATGCCTTTAATCCCACTCTCTTGCCTGATTGCTGTGGCCAGGACTTCCAGCACTATGTTGAATAGAAATGGAGATAGTGGGCAACCTTGTCTTGTTCCAGTTCTAAGTGGGAATGCTTTCAATTTTTCCCCACTCAGTATGATGTTGGCTGTGGGTTTGTCATAAATGGCTTGTATAATTTTTAGGTAAGGCCCATCTATGCCTATTTTGTTAAGCGTTCTTGTCATAAAAGGGTGTTGAATTTTGTCAAATGCTTTTTCTGCGTCTATTGAGAGAATCATACGGTTTTTGTCTTTGCTTCTGTTTATGTGGTGGATTAAGTTTATAGATTTGCATATGTTGAACCATCCCTGCATCTCTGGAATGAAGCCCACTTGGTCATGATGGATTATTTTCTTAATAAGCACCTGGATTCCAGTAGCTAGAATTTTGTTGAGAATTTTTGCATCTATATTCATAAGGGATATTGGTCTGTAGTTTTCCTTTTTTGTTGCGTCCTTTCCTGGTTTTGGTATCAGGGTTATGTTGGCTTCATAAAATGTGTTGGGGAGGAATCCATCCTTCTCGATGCTGTGGAATAATTTCTGCAGGATAGGCACCAGTTCTTCTTTGTAGGTGTGGTAAAATTCGGGTGTGAAACCATCTGGTCCGGGACTTTTCTTTTTTGGAATGTTTTTTATTGCTGTTTCAATTTCAGTCCTTGATACTGGTCTGTTCAGGAATTCAATTTCTTCCTGGTTGAGCCTAGGGAAGCTGTGCGTTTCTAAAAATTTGTCCATTTCCTTCACATTTTTCAGTTTGTGTGCATAAAGGTGTTTGTAATATTCATAAATTATATCTTCAATCTCCACAGCATCAGTTGTAACTCCTCCTTTTTTGTTCCTGATGGAGCTTATCAGGGATTTTTCTTTTCTGTTTTTCGTTAGTTTAGCCAAAGATGTGTCAATTTTGTTTATTTTTTCAAAGAACCAACTTTTTGTTTTATTAATCTTCCGTATAGTTTCCCTGTTGTCAATTTCATTCAGTTCTGATTTGATCTTACTAATTTCCCTTCTTCTGCTGGGTTTGGGGTTGGTCTGATCTTCTTTTTCCAGTTCCTTGAGTCGATTCATTGGGTTGTCTATTTGTGATCTATTTGACTTTTGGATATATGCATTTATGGAAATAAACTTTCCTCTCAGGACTGCTTTGGCTGTGTCCCACAGATTTTAATAACTTGTGTCACCTTTGTCATTTAGGTCAAAGAATCTTTTGATTTCCATCTTTACTTCCTCATTTAAGAAGGAATCGTTCAGCAGAAAGTTGTTTAATTTCCATGACTTTGTGTAGAGATGAGAGTTGCTATTGGGGTTGATTTCTGTTTTTATTGCACTGTGATCTGAGAACATGCATGGTATGATTTCTATTTTTTTAAATTTTTTGAGACATGCTTTGTGTCCTAGAATATGGTCAGTCTTAGAGAATGTCCCATGAGCTGATGAGAAGAACGTGTATTCAGTGGTTTTGGGGTAGAATGTCCAAGCCCATTTGTTCTAGAGTTCTGTTTAAGTCCATTATTTCTTTGTTAACTTTCTGCTTGGAGGATTTGTCCTGTGCTGTCAGTGGGGTGTTGAATTCTCCAACTATAATGGTGTTGCTGTCTATCAATTTGTTTAGATCAAGTAGAGTTTGCTTTATGAATCTGGGTGCACCTAAGTTGAGTGCATACATATTTAGAATTGTTATGTCTTCTTGTTGAACTGTACCCTTCACCATTATATAAGGACCCCCTTTGTCTTTCATTACTTTTGTTGATTTAAAAACCAAGTTGTCTGCCACACCAGGCTTCCTTTGGCTTCCATTTGCTTGAAATGTTGTTTTCCACCCCTTTACTTTGAGTCTAAATGCATCCTTGCAGGTTAGATGCGTTTCTTGGAGACAGTAGATGCTTGGCTTGTTTTTTTTTTATCCATTCGGCCAGTATATATCTCTTGAGAGGGGAGTTCAAACCATTCACATTTATCGAGAGAACCAATAAGTGGGGTGAATTACTGTTCATTCTATTGGATTGCATTTTGTTGCTTTGTTTTCTGTCTTGAGCCATTGTGGAATCTAGCCTTTGATCTTTAACTTTTGAGTGGTTTCACATTCAAGAGTGTT